GCTCATTCTTTTTGGAAACTAAATGATGTTCTATAATATACATTTACCATAATTTTTATTATTATTCTTCAGTTGGTGGTCATCTGGGTTAGTTCCAGTTTGTTGCAATAAACCTTCTTCAACAAAGCTACTCACGTACTGGGACTCTTGTTTATAGCGGTGAGAGTCTCAGCACACACATTTAGCTCCATATGGGTGTCACAGAGACAGGAATCTGTTTTGTTCCCTAAGGTGTTAACCTGGTGAATGGATAGACATTTGCACAAGTAATTAGAATACAATGTGAAAAGTATCTATGAAATGGAAATGTGTACTTCCAATTACTTGATTGCTGTCTAGGGGAAAATAAAATATAAAAAATCAAACCAGTATCTCCTCTTGAGAACTTTTAACATATAAAATCCAGAATGATCGGAAGAGTCTGCTTACTTTGTGGAGAGATACACTACACTCTTATTATTTCGGAAGGGGCCAGGTATTTCCAGATGTCTTTTCCAGTTCTGAGTTGTAACTCCCTGATAAGTAGAAGATTGTACGAGCAAGAGTGCATTCATCACAATGATTACCTAATGTGAATCCCACAGTCCTTTAAGGGAACAATAATCTATTTGTGTTAGTTAATCCAGGTTCATGCGCCTGGATGTGGTATCCAAATTTCCATATGTGGTATCCAAATTTCCTCTTTCACTGGAAGATCTGTAAACACAAGGAGAAATCTTGCAGTAGAGAAGAAATATGTGTTTATAATTAAAGACATGTATGTGATATCATAGTGAAATTTCATGGAACACAAAATTTAACAAAACTGTCAAGAATGGGAGGGCCTATCCTGTCCATAACAGGTTAAAAGTTGCCCACTTCAAACAAGCCTTTGCTTGCATGTGTGTTGATAAGCCTAATTTCATCTTATAATATCTCCAGCGGCCTGAAGTCTTTGGGGAATTTTTAATTGTAAGTTGTACTCTCTGCTGGAGCCATCCATTGCTGCAATTAGTGAGGTTTACTTCATATCCTGGTCATGCACTTTGGCAAGGGCTGGCATGGCTGTCTCTTCAAATTACATTGGTGGAGGAAAGAAAAATTTGTTTTCTTCTTCCATGGAGAGGTGGTTAAAAATACCAAATGAAAATTAAAAACATGAGATACTCAGTTGACCAGATCAAGCCTCATATGTCCCAGTAACAACTCAACTGCAAAAGTTCTAAGGAAGAAAGTGCTTTGACTTTCAGGGGGTAATTTAGCAAATTGTCCTGGTTTCCTCTGCCTCTGAAAGCCTTAAGGATGAATTTCCTAGGCTAGCATACCACTAGTAATGGTCAGAGGTATCTGATTCCTCTCCAGGAAACCCACATGAAAAACTGTCTCCCCACTAGATGAACCCTGCCATGTCCCCCAGGTCCTAGTCTCCACTGTGTAAGCAACCCTCAGCCCTGCCATGTCCCCAGGTCCTGGTCTCCACTGTGTAAGCAACCTCAGCCCAGCCATGTCCCCCCACGTCCTG